GGGTTAATATTATTATTAATAGTTTTTAATGATTTCTACATCGTCAGTCCTTTTTTTCTGCTCTGTTGTCAACATGTACAGTAATGGGAAATCCAGACTCTTGACCGTTTAGCGTTAGCCGTTAGCTTCACCAGCCGATCACACAATCATGTGGYTTTTGCCTCTCCAGCTGTTCTATAGAACCTCCTTGGAAAAGCCGGATATATCAAGTTGGGGCTTTTTAGAGAAAGTTTAGTTTGTAGAGAAAGTTTTCTTTATTCAAAAATGTTTGTGAGTAAAAAAGTAGGTGAGCAGCCTACGCATGCTAGTTACTAGCTTCTCCAATGCTAACCCCAGCTTATCCATGCTAGTTGCTAGCCTCTCTGATGCTAACACAAATGAATGGTCTCCTTCTCCTTTTCCAACTCTGTCCTCTCTGTCAGCAGTGCCGATCTATCATTAATCAGATCAATAGCTGGTTAGTAATAGATATAGCCTCCTGCTGCAAGGATGTAGCAACTGCTGGTTGTATAATTGTCTTCATTTTAGCCCTCATACCTCGCTATAGGTTTGGAGAAACGGTTTCAGTTCCTGGAAAAATGTTACGTTGAATTCTGTGCTTATTTACATGCACACATAGCAGTAGCTGCTAGCTGTAGCAGCAGCCTGAAGTGGAATCCTGCTGTAGTTTTATAACATTTAGACTTTAATAACTGGATGAAGATCAGACAGAATCTGTTTGTTKTCTGTTTCATCCTGCAGTTGCGGAGACGGGTTGTCACGTCCTGCACATCCTGTCCGTGGCCCGGCAGCGTCACAGCCTGAACCTGAGCAGGGCGGCTCTGGACCTGGTCCTGAAGGAGCTGGAGTGTAACAGCGAAGTCGTCAGCACCAGCGACAACCGCTACACCATGTTTTAACACAACCTAAACTCGTCATTAACCGGAGTTAGTGTTCTCATTAATAAAAGCTTTTATCACAGTAAAGAGTCTGTAAGGAGCTCCACTCCTGTAAAGATGTGTTTTTTAAAATAAATAAATAAGCAGATGGAAGGAGCAGCTTGTTGTGGAGCCTTGAAGCAAAAATAAATAAATAATAGTCTCCTGGGTCCATTTCTATCTGCAGTCTGTCCAGATTCTTATTTTTTATTTTAATTTTTCTTGAGAAAATGCTAAGGTGCCAAGAAGCGGTGAAACGCATCACACCCTCCTCCTCCTCCTGCTGTCCATCTGTTAGCCCTGAAGCTGCAAGTCTGAGGCAGCAGATAACACTTCTGATGACCATCAGTGAACAGATGTAATGTTTTATAACCTTTATTTTATCACAACTTGATTAAAACTCATCAGACATGAAACTTTTAGTAAATAAAATATAAATTGTCTTCACTCATCAGACATGAAACTTTTAGTAAATAAAATATAAATTGTCTTCACAAACAAGAACCTACTGATCCTACAGAACTCTGGTGTGTTGCACATGGCCACTCCCTGAAGGTTCCACAGCAGGTTGGATTCTAGAACGTCACTGCTCCTTGTTGATTTTCTGTTTTTTACTTGTTCTCAGTGTTGTATAAAATACCTCAAAATGATAGTAAAAGTACAAGTATCTTACCATAAAATTACTTTGGTAAAAGTTCAAGTCTCCTCTAAGAATGAAAACATGTACAATAGGTTGCCTTCAGGCCCAGGCTTCCAGGACTTGCCTGGTTAAATAACGGCAAAAAAATAAATAAATAAAATATATACAGTATATA